CAGGAATGTCACCCAGGTGCCAGCAACGTTCTCCTGCCAGCCTGCACATGTGGCAAAGAAAGGTCTGCCCACAACCACAGCTGCTCTTCTGAGACCCAGCCTGGCAAAGAGTTTGCAAGAGAGACCAAGGAAACAGGCTAGTTCTGCAGCTGTTTTTTAAGAGTGTCCTAGCATCCAGTCTGCAGGGATGTGTCTGTGAACCTTTTGGGTTTCAGGGCTGCATTGCAGAGGAGTGTAGTGCAGGGAGGTGCCAGCTAGCTTTAAGGAAGGTGGTGCAGGGCTAACTCATGAGCTTTGCTCATGCACTTGGTGATTTCCATACCTGTGACGTGGCCAACTGACTGTGGAGGAGCATCCAAACTGTCCCACATAGAAGCTGGGTTATTGAAGAGCCCAAATCTGTGCTGAATTTCCTTCCTCAACCTGTCTGTAACAAGTCAACAGCTGAGTTGTCCCTACAGCAGGATTAGGAAACTTAGCAAGAGCAGGAGTCACTACAGCCACCCCAAGGTAAACCATTCCCCAGTCATGAATCACATCTCCTGGCATCTCTGTGTGTTGGTAGCTCACTGAAAATCTGCAGAGCCTGGGTTCGTACAAACAGAAAACCTTTGAAAAATGGCAGGGAGTTGTCTCCAAAAATTTTACAATAATTTTTGCATGCTTCTCGTAAGAGCCCAGACTTAGAAAAATAGCTACACAGCTCCGGAAATTAATTTCCAGCTTTCCCTCTTCTAAACTTTCCATTTTGTTCCTGACTTGCTGTGAGTCTGATTGAGTTATTTCAGAACGCAGCCAAGCAGCCAAGTCAGAAACCCTATTAACAATGTCAACAAGACATAGCTGATTGCCCAGAACAGTTGACGCACAAACCCACAGAGATTAAAAAACGATCTGACAAACTTTAAAAAAATAATATTTTAAATAGTGCCCTTTTCCATCATTTTCAAAGGGCAATTGGTAGATGCGATCAGAACTGTGACCTTTATGAAACAGAGCTTTCTTGTTCAAAATGAAGCACCGTTTTTCTACCAGATGACAACATAAGCCTTTATATACACATACCTAAATCCTAACAGTGGAAGCATCACTAATGTTTAGAGATATGTTGTGTGCTAAGTCGGTGATAAACTCTGGGAGTTAGAACCGAATAGAGAGAAATCTCCCAGCGGATTTCCAAGGCTTCCACTGACCATAGAATTATTTCAAGCAATGCAGAAATGCACATTATTTGTTATTGGTCAAGTCTGTTTTCACAAAGCAGCATTTGCCTCAAAAGGGGTCCCTCGGCCTGGAGCAGCCTCCCCACAGAGCTCCAGTGAACACAGCGCTGCAGTTAGCTTAGAAATTGAGCCTGGGTCTAGATATTCAGGGTGGCTTAAGTTGGGTTGACCATGGTCCCCGTGCGATGCAGTTTGGAGCCACACTTACTTGCTAGGTCATCTTGCAACATATCATATATTTCCCAGTGCTGGTGAGCAAGACACATCATGAATGTCCCTGGGATCTGCCAAAGCCCCTGTCCTCCTTCCTGGGTCCATTTTGGAGGCCGTGGAGTGCTCTGCTCCTGTCCTCATGTGCACCTAGCAGAGGGGTAGGTTTCCAGGCTGTGACACTGCAACCCAGGTTTAAAAACACCTCAGAGCCAGGCAAAAATGCCCTGAGTGCAAAAAGAAGGGTCTGTCAGGACAACTCTCGTAGCCAAGAGACCTCTCAAGCATTGGCCCCCAGCACAGCATAAGGCTGACAGAGCTGGTTGTAGGAGTGGGGTTGCCATCCCTCTGGTCCCCATCCCCACCACACAGTCCTGCTTTGCTACCAGTCCAAGATTACAAATAAGTTGGTCAAAATGATGGATTTGATACTTGGCAGCCATTGTAAATCTTAAATCTGGAGCCCCATATCCCTGTCCTGGCCCTGTCTTTATTGCTTCTATCTCCATGGCCAAGTTAGGTGGCATAAGGGGAGCTCCTGTTCATCCTGATGGATTTTTTCACAGTTAGGATAGGTGATGATTTCTTGCTCAAAGACTAGAAACTGAGCTGTGTTGCCAATTAGGAATCACTTCCAGCAGCCAAGAGGTACCTTTTTTTTTTTTTTTTGTAGCATGTTTTGTACATCTAAAAGGAACAATTTGTCCCATGAGAGGTGTTTTTCTTTTAAACGGAGCATTTTCCATCTCAAACAACAGATCCTCATTTATGTATACTTTCTGAAAGATAAAAATGATGAACCTAGAGCATGGAAATGCTGCTTACAATGGAGTTTCCTTAAACAGCTGGGATTGTGGCTACACATTTTTCCTTAGGATCTTAAGATGCCAGTTTTCCATAGTTCTGTGAGCCTAATGGGTGAAGTCAAACTTTGCCTTTTGGAATTATTTTCTTTCAATAGTTATTTTCTGAAATCAGAAAATTTCACAGAAGCCTTCTGGTTTTTTCATTGTAGTAGTTTTTTTTTTTTAATGCTCTCTTTTACAGCAAAACAGAGTATTTTGGAAGGTCTCTGTCTCAAAGATGAAGGGTTTGCCCTTCCCCCCCTTTGTTTCTGTGGTTGTTTGGCCTCTGAATACAACCGAGTGTCATCATGTCTTGTCTGCCTTTGCCTTTCCCTTTCCTTACTCCTTTTTGACACTTTGCTTTTCAAGAGACAAGGTGGGAACAGGCCTGTATTACTTGTCATTGCATTTGGGGCCAAAAAGGGGAACCCTAAGCATTGACTTTTCAGAATCTGAAAAATACTTTGCACAAGCCACAGAGAACAAGTTTGACCAAAAATCTCTTTTTTTTTTCTCTTCCTTCCTAAAGACAGCTCTACTTTTCTCAATGTGAAATACAGACAGATATGCACCTTGGGTGCAGGCTTTCTGGGAATGGTGAAATGAGGTTTGGGTGTTGATAGCAGCGTTTGAGTGGTCAGAGAAGTGAGTGCTGTTCATTATTTATGTTGAGTGAGTCTTACAAAATTGGGAAGGTCACTAGAGGGACAAGGAGCAACAGAATCTGCAGAGCAAAAGTCTGAAGACTGGAGGTTGTGTGAATCGCATATAGAGGTGAATGGTTCTATCTATCTGTGAAAACTGAGCTAGGATA